TTTGTAAAAGATGCCAGACACTCACATTCGTCATAAATTTTGCATATGATTAAAAATAACCTGGATACTGTTTATTCCTGATAGTCGAACGTACAATCATAATATTAGTTTATTCATAATCAGACTCATACCATATATATAATTTTCAATTGTTGTACAAATAAATTCTTATACGAGGTTTTTGGCCGCAAGGTCTTTTTTCCTCGGGGTTTATCCCCAAAAATCAATGTTTATTTACTTGAACAAAATTCAATATTATTTCCTTTCCCATTACCTTTCCTTAGATTCTGATTCATTATTTTCAATTGAGTAATTCTGGCAAAGGCTAAAATTACTATGCTACATATAATAGTTTTGGTATTGCTCCAACTAGTTGGTACTTCTCCCATAGATAACATCCGATTAATCAGATTTAGGATTATATTCTTTGTTTTATGTGGTGTTAAAAAAATACGTAGGATCGAACGATTACGATACCGATTCTCCAGTTCAATCTATACAAACTTTAATTGAAATCGTCGCAGGAAAAAACGAGGCATAGACTGTCTCACAACTCCTCGCAATACTTCCACAATTCCATGAAACTCTTTCGATTCGGCTTTAGCTTGGCCCCGCACTTAATTTCATACACATGTTTCACAGTTTCTAGAAAGCGGCACGCCGATAAATCGACGTGCTTAAGTTTCCAGACGTTCCGCAGGTCGCAATAGCCCTAATTGTTGGCTGACCGGCCGGTCGAGGAACCGCGTCTTCGTGTTGGGCCTGCAGTAGGTAGATAGTGCATCAGCCCGTGACCTGCAGCGCACCGCGAGTAAAAAGGCGTTCAAGTTACCCCTGGTTTAGGAACATCGGTGGTGGTGTCGTCTGTATTCCAGGCTAATCACTTATTATTTCAGATCAGTCGGAATCTTGGCCTTACAACCCGAGCTTCCGTACAACTCATATACACTGTACGTGTAGTGCAGACAGCTTCTAGTAACGATGATCAGTGATCCAGCGATAATCCAACGTTACTGTCGTCCTCGTCTCAATTGCTTCTAATTGAGAATAGAGAGAAAAAAGCCGGAAAATTCCTCTCGGTTACATACAGATCACAAATTATAATAATTATTTTCTGCCGATTCCGAGCGAAATA